AGTTACATCAGAAATGTAGAAGATTTGAGAGACAGTGTAATTGCTGGATGTAGCTCAATAAGAAATTACCTTGGTATAGTTAAAAGAATTCTACAGTCTTTATAAAGTACAGACTAGAGCCTTGAGCTCTAACATATTCTACCTGAAGATAGATATGCTGTATTCCGGCATATAAAAACGGATCTGAAATATACTATCACCATCCATATGAGACCGTAGCAGAACACAAAAATGAAATTAGGGATATACTTTGAAAAGAGTTAGAGTGTTTGGGAAGGGCGTACCCCTGGTAGCGGGACACGAGGGGGCATGTGGCTGTAACTTATCAAATGAACTTTCTAAAATATATAAATACGCAACTTTGCCACCATTCAACCAACCTGTATCTTTTACCGTTTCAGAGATCATAATGGTGAAAGCATGACAAATTTGTTTTTCAAATCATTCTAGAATAAACTAGAAATTTCAAGTTATTGTGGAAAAACAACGAACAAATATCGACAAAGAGAAATTATTTCCGGAATTAGTATAATGTGCTATATCCAGGGCAATATCAAAGCTTGTCCCTTTGAAGTGGCATACGAGTATTAGGATATACGAAAAGATGTATGGTGTTCCATTTAAAAAAAATCGTTTTTGATCTCATGAGGTATGATTCACCCTGTATGGAGCGGTATATTCCAGGTACGAAGCGTATAGTCCATAATTTTTGTGAATATCATTTTTGATGATTTATGGTAATGAAGGTATTATCCGATAAGATACTAAAAACTCACCCTGTATGTCTAATTTGTTGCAGCAGTTACGTCGCTGGATAGCTTGAGCCTATTTTAAGATTTTTTTCGATGTAAATCACTACAAATGCTTTAACTTTTGGCTACTATCTCATATTTACTCTTATGCCCTTTTGATAAAAACTGAATTTTTTTTTGCTATAACCAATTATCTGATGCGATGAATTGGATATACCCATTTTGAAGGTGTTTTCATCCCTTTCCCAATTCTTCTATAGACTTTTGAAGTTTGATAAAAAAAAGTTACCCAGAATTTTTTATTTCGAGATGAGTGCCTTTACATTCACTGTACTAATATAAATCCTTCTGTACAATTTCTTTTGCAAAGGGGATCACATTTGGCTTGCTTGACTGTTTCAAAAAGTAATCCTAGTAGTTTTCAATGCACATTTGAATTGTTAAATCATCGTGGAAGACTATGAAAGATGTAATTGAAATTCAAATAAAAGCAAAATATCAATCATAGTTAAGTAGATATGATTTGTGGAAATTCCACCAACACATTTTTTGAAGGTGCCCCCCCCTTTGTTTTGAGCTGGGTACCTCCTTGGTGCTATTTTACTTGGGTATCTTTAAGTAATGTCTGAAGAAACGCTAAAAAGGGAAAATTCTTGCGCCATTTATGAGACAGTGGCAGAACCAAATACTCGAAATTCAAATAAATAAAATTGTGTCTGTTTTATCTTTCAGATTCCTTTTTGGACGGATGCCGGAATACAGCATATAACAATAATATAACAATAATAATAATCTGTGTTGTGTTATTTTTAGTTAAAAGAACAACAAAGAAAAAAAACTCATTTGATGAGTTAGGCGACATTCAATATACGAGCCCCTTCCCACTTCAGTTGGTCCAACTAATGAAATCTTAGTTTTTTTCTTATCAAACACAAATAATAAAAATGTAGCAGGGTGTTATAGGTTTAAAATATTAAAAATGAATATTTTGATAATATGTAGTAGAAAACACCAACTTTATCAATCCCTAATCAAATTTGCAGCATAAATAATAACACATGTTGCAATTACAGCATATCAACCTATTTTCATTTCAATGCAAAATAAGTCTATAACACATAGGTGGCTGTGAAAAATAAAAGCCATGACAATTGTTTTTATTAATCACAGCTGTCAGAATACGTTTAAAATAGTTTTGGGTAGTTAAGGTTTTCAAAATGGGTAGAGGAAAGGTGATTAGTGAGAAAATTCGGTTACTGATAATTAATTTTTTTTATTCTGGGAAATCAAACTCAGAAATTGCAACTTTGTTATACTTAACGCGGTACAGTGTGAGAAATATTGTTAGAAGGTATAACGTAACTGGTTCAGTTAATATTAAGCCACGATATGTGAAAAAACGTTATATCACAAATGCCGACCGAAGAGCATTAAGAAGAATAATCGTGAAAAACAGGCGTGCCAATTATTTACAATTAAGTGCTCTGTGGCGTGACGCTGTTGGAACGAGAATTTCGAGGTCCACAACTCATAGAGAGGCCCACAAACTGGAATTTAGCACTTGGTAGGTTTTCTTATAAAAAAAAGTGAAGCAAAAACCCTAAAGTTGCACAACGTGTTTATAGGCCAAAGAAAAGCCACTATTAACTCCACTGCAAAAGAAAGATCGGCTTAGATAGGCTAAAGAACATAGACAATGGACACCTCAACAATGGTGTGCAATACAATGGAGTGATGAGGCCCGATTCGAAGTTTGTGTTGGTGACAGTCGCAGTAGAGTTATTCGCAAAAAATGAAGCATTCCATGTTGACTGTCTGAAGAGAAAAGTGAAATATCCAGCATCCATTATGGTCTGGGGCAGTATGTCATCAAAAGGAGTAGGAAAACTTCATTTTATTGATGGAAATGTGGATACAAACAAATATTAGGCAATTTTAGAAGAATCGCTTGTACCACTGATGGAAGAATGTTTTTATTAATCACAGCTGTCAGAATACGTTTAAAATAGTTTTGGGTAGTTAAGGTTTTCAAAATGGGTAGAGGAAAGGTGATTAGTGAGAAAATTCGGTTACTGATAATTAATTTTTTTTATTCTGGGAAATCAAACTCAGAAATTGCAACTTTGTTATACTTAACGCGGTACAGTGTGAGAAATATTGTTAGAAGGTATAACGTAACTAGTTCAGTTAATATTAAGCCACGATATGTGAAAAAACGTTATATCACAAATGCCGACTGAAGAGCATTAAGAAGAATAATCGTGAAAAACAGGCGTGCCAATTATTTACAATTAAGTGCTCTGTGGCGTGACGCTGTTGGAACGAGAATTTCGAGGTCCACAACTCATAGAGAGGCCCACAAACTGGAATTTAGCACTTGGTAGGTTTTCTTATAAAAAAAAGTGAAGCAAAAACCCTAAAGTTGCACAACGTGTTTATAGCCAAAGAAAAGCCACTATTAACTCCACTGCAAAAGAAAGATCGGCTTAGATGGGCTAAAGAACATAGACAATGGACACCTCAACAATGGTGTGCAATACAATGGAGTGATGAGGCCCGATTCGAAGTTTGTGTTGGTGACAGTCGCAGTAGAGTTATTCGCAAAAAATGAAGCATTCCATGTTGACTGTCTGAAGAGAAAAGTGAAATATCCAGCATCCATTATTGTCTGGGGCAGTATGTCATCAAAAGGAGTAGGAAAACTTCATTTTATTGATGGAAATGTGGATACAAACAAATATTAGGCAATTTTAGAAGAATCGCTTGTACCACTGATGGAAGAATGTTTGACATCCGGCCAAGATTTTGTGTTTCAGCAAGATGGTGCAGCGTGCCATACCTCAAAAAGGCTATAAAATGGATGAAAGAAAATAATGTACCACTTTTGAAATGGGGTTCTAGCAGTCCAGATCTGTCACCTATTGAAGCTTTGTGGCACGAGATGAAAAAGGTTCTACGACAACATCCTTCTCGTACAATCACCGACCTGAGACAAAAGCTTCAAGAAATATGGGATTGTTTTACACCAAATTTTTGACAAAACTTGTCCCAAAGAATTTCAGCCGTAATGAAAAATAAAGGTGATGTTACCCAATGGTAATCTTTCAATTGTTGCTTTGTTAACTTCGCGCATTTATTCGCACACTGTTTATTTGTTCAGATGTTCTATTAGTTATAGGTTTAAGTGATTTCAAATATATATTTTTTACGACTAGAGTGTATCTGAAATGTTTTTGAGAAAATAAATTGTTTTAGAAGTAAATAGTTTCGTCATGTTTAGTTTATAAAGGCATATTTGGTACAAATCTTGAAGTGGGGCAACTGAAATGGGAAGGGGCTCGTAGTTGCTTTTCCATGCAACCCCCGTAAATAATACTATACTAACAATTTCAGAATAATAATGGATGTAATTAATACAACAAAAATAAAACTATTGTACTCTTTTCACATGACTCTATTTCGAACGCTGCTAAGTGAGATCGAATCTTCTACTGTATCTGGCAATGAGTTGTATATTGTAGATGCAACATAAGTAAATGACTTTTCAAACTGTTCAGTACTATGGAACGGAACATCATAGAGATTACAAGAACGAGTTTCCCTATCATGAAAATCCGATCTCTTAACAAGTTTGGTATAGAGGTAAAGTGGGTTTTGTTAATATTATAAGTTAAGCAAGCAAGATGTATCAAAAAACACTCATGCATGTTGAACCAGCCAGAGGCTCGAAATTCATCACTGAAGTGGTCATATTTTTTCAAACCGTACGAAAATTTAATGCATGAGTTCTGAATTTTTGGAATAGAACGTTTGTCTCTAATAGTGAGAGCAGGCCGGTATACAATATCAGCATACGACAAGGAAAAAGTCCTTAATTTAGCATAAACTTTTTGTAAGAGATGCTTACTTAATGTGGGGAACAAATATAAGAGTATTATCCATATATAGTCCCAGATTTTTACATTTTTTGCTTGCTTGTAATACAGTGTTATTAGTTCAGATTCTAAAATTCTGGTTGTCAGTAACCTCACACGGTCTTGATCCAAAAATAAGCAATTCAGTTTTATTTTCATTTAATACAAGGCTGTGGGCTCTGGTTATCTATCTTCGGGGAGAGCAGGTTAATCAATGATATCGAGACAGAAATCCTTTCCAAAGCTCTCTCCTGCCATCTCCACTATGTGCTCACTCAGAGACCTTAGACTTTGTCCATATGCGTTTAACAAAAATCACTCGTACATGACTCCGTTGACATTGAAGATAACTTCTACTGATAACGGTTTAGTACACACATAGCAATTAACCTGTCTAAAAACCTGATCAAATACCACATTGTGTAGTTTACGGATATTTGTAGAGTAGGTAATCATAATAGTGCGCATTGACTTGAGTCAGCCGATAAAATGATGCGAGCAATAATAATTGCACGAGAAAAAAAGGTGATGTGGTACAAGTTCTCATAATTACCTCCGCAATGTAGTTTAATATCAAGTACGTGAAATATTGAAAACTGTTGTTTAAACGTGATAAATTCTACCGCGATTAGTTATTGACTAAATAATTTATGAATTTGCGACTAATACAATGGACAAAAGGTTGTATGCCAATGTACATGGAGATATTTATGAATCAGTACCATGTGACATTTTTTATATGAATAGAAGTCAAGCCAGTATCAATGACAGGTAAGATAATTCCTAAAATTTGTCGCTTGATTTTTAATAAGCATTCTCAGTGGTGTATCTAGAATTGATATGTGTGGAGACGGTTAACGCAGTGAAAAAAATTACCATTATTACAATAAAAACAAAAAACACGACTGCAGTAATTGAAAGGAATGGAAGTTTAAACTGCGCCATTTTCAATTTTTTGATTAAAGCCTGCAATTATGACTTTATATAATTTTGATATACCAAGTATCACTCGCGCTGCTAAGACGAATCTAACAACACGTCATATATCCATTGAGCCGTGAAGCAGAATGATTCTTGTGCACCTATATACGTATACTAACTACTACTAACAAATACCCCCGTACCTCAAGAAATTTAAAAAAATGCAACAAACGAATAAACATGATTTATGCTGATTATTTACATGGAGAAAACCCCGTATTTTACATTTTTAAATGTGTTATGAAGGAAAATACTTTCCTCGTAAACGCCAAAAATTACATTTACATTTAGTATAAACCCCGCATATTACATTTTTCAGAAAGACCCTGGTATGTGCTCAGTAGATACGGGCTTCTAAAATCGATATGCGAGGTATTTTCTGATAAATAAAGCAGCTCCGCTATCGGCGTTGTCCATGTCAGGTTTTCTCTAAGCATTTTGCCGGGTAAACAGTCACTTTATTGATTGGTTTCGACTTGTCGGCATGTTTATTATAAATTGAATAACTCACACATTTTTTCATCAATATGTCAGTTAAAAATTGTCTTAATATTTATAAAAGTGTTGTTAGTGCCGAGCATAAAAATATTTTCTTTTGTTAAGTTTTCCTTTATAATAATTATAGGTCTGCTGAATTTTATTTTTATTAAAACATGTCTTAAATCTTTGACGATTATTTTTATGATAAATTAATTTGTTACCAAAATATATGTTGTGTATTATTATGTGTTATATCTCAGTCGTTTTTATGTTTTTTTTTTTTAATTTTGATGATAAAATAAACATGGCAAAAGGGAATAGTTTCCAAGTCCAATAGCTTATTATTATCATTGGCGTGCTGCTTTACGAGAAAAAGTATAGTAGGGCCTATTTTACACATAATATTATTTTGCCATACTTGGTATCAGTATTCCCAAAAACACCCAATACGAAAATATAATGATAAATAATACGATATCAAAATATATAAAATGATTGTCTTTTGGCGCAGATATACATTTTTATCATAATTACATAGTTAAATCCAAGCATAAGCCGAATTTGAATTATAAGTGGTTTTAACTAATTATTCTTAACCTAATGATTGCTATGATATTATAAATTATTATTATGAATGATCTTATCTTATCAGTCAAGTTAAAGTACATCATAAAGAGCAAACTTCTTTAACCGCGGTTTTCTCAAAACTTGTTCAAGTGGAGAAACGGGGGTCTTTCTTGATAGAGCAGTATACTCGTACACACACATACATAGATACACATACATACATACATGTACATACATAATATTTCTGAAGAAAAAGATGATCAGAAAAAAGTAGTTACCTACTCGCTCTAATATTCTGAAAAAATCCAGAGCTGTACTATTACTGTTTAACAAGTTAGAATGGTGGGAAAAATGCATAAAAATGCACAAAAATACATTTTGGACAAAAAATTATAATACGAGTATATTGTTTTTCAGTCATGCCTATACACGCCATTAAACATTCAAGTGAAAAGTATCAAGAATACTCCTTCAAACAGGCTGTGAAAAAAGGATGTGTGACCTTAACTGAGAGGGCTTACTGCTTTTCTTATTTTAAATTTTTCCTTGAATCTACTTGCTGTTTTATTTTATAGTGTGTTAATTCAATGTTAGTCATAACTATTTTCTATGTTCTTCATCTGCATACCCTGTCAGTTGCATACATTTAGCAGCTCAATACCAATAGAATACCTTTTACGGGGAATCAAGACAAGGAATCGTTTCAGAAAGGATGAAAGAGAAGGAAACGTCCTATACTATGCAAATAACAAATCGATTTTGTCAAATTTCTTGTTTTTAGAGTTACCAATTGTTTTGTTTTGAGGATAGATTCAAGGAGAAAGAGCAGGAATTTCTGTCAAGTTGTAGGCGAATATATTTTCAATCGATTTTCCATTACGATAGGGTTAAGCAGATGAAAAGAGGGTCATTTTGATCGAACAGTTTCATGGTTTTTATATTTTTTATAAGTTCAGTAGTGTAGGTACAAACCAAATGTGATCCAACAGAAAATGATTATATTTGGGCCAGGATAATCACTTGTTATCAATTGTTTTTTAGAAATGAAGACTCTGAAGCTCAATCAAACGTGGAAACCAATAAATGCATGTGCAAAAATTTCGTTAGAGGTTGCTCGCAAATAGTGTACCGAGAAGATAGGCATAAGCACGAGTGTGAATGTGAATTTAACGCTTTCAAATGTGTATTTAGTTCCTGCAGTTTTGTAGACATCCTACCTGGTATAAGGAATCACTTAGAGAAGAAACATCAAATTGTGGACAATAATGAAGCTTTGGCGGTGTTCGACTTGCATAAGGATAGAGTCGTGGTCTTCTGTTGTTATGAAAGTATATTTAGGTACAACTTTATTTTAGTTTTTATAGTCCTCAACAATACTTGCTAAGCGATATTGGATTGGGTAGTTACTTCAGGCAGTCTAAAAATATCCTTCAAAATGATTGAACCTTTCGACTAATAAAAAAATAAACAGCTAAATGTGGCAATTTTGGTTTTATGAAAAAACGCAGCTTTATAATCACAATAATGGTCTAATGTTTACGCGCCACAGAAATATGGTTTATATTATTACAGATGCCTATATTATATCTACGATGACTTCGTAGAATTCCTAGTAGTACCTTATGGTATCCATGTGCAGGGGTGTTTTTTTCGGGTGACAGTGAATGGAGTATCAAGGAAAAGTCCATGTGTTCACTGGAACGCAATAGCGCTAGACAAGGGAGTAATGATCAGAAAGACTGATATCGAAACTGGAGCAGATGGCAGATTTGAAGCTAAGATCAAGATATTGTATCGGAAACATTATAACGTGTGACAGAAGACTGGGGGATACTCATAGATATACAACACAAAAAAATGAATTAGTAGGTGTGATATTTTATCTTTGTAAATTATAATGAAATATATTTATACATTTTTGTTCCTTCATGTAGTGTGTAGTTTTGATACAATTGACCGCTTTGTTCCTGAAATAATACTTATAAGATTTGCATGAGTTTTATTGATCAACTTGATATTATCCCATATTACTTCAATTTTTGAAAGAGACGCATTTGTAGAGATGTTTAAAAAGTTTTACCATGTTTTCAAAATTTAAAGAACATCTACCGTCTCATTAATGGAATATTTGCTCCAAAGTTGACAAATCCTGGTTACTGTTATACGAGGTCTGTAAATTAAGTAATGAGACTGGCAACGTAGCGTTCGAACTGACAACTCTGGAGGCGGAGGGCTTGGAGGGGAGACAGGGGAACATGTGATCTGCCTTCAGTAGATGTTTGAACTCACTCGAGTCAATTGTTTGTACGTAGCGTTTTTTTTTTGTGAAACAGTCTTTCCTATTGGGTTCTAGAAATGAGTGACATCGATTTCCAGCAACGGTGTGCTCTCAGGTTTAGCTTCAGACTTGGGCACAGTGCAATGGAAACACTGGCAAAAGTTCATCAGTCTTTGTGAGACCAGGCTTTCCGGTGGCTTAAGTCATTTTCAGAAGAAAGAGAGTCGATTGAAGATAAACCACGAAGCAGAAGGCCTTCATCTTCAAGAACCGATGAAAATATCGACAGAATCCGGGATCTTGTGCGTTCAGATCGTCGGTTGATACTAAGATTAATCGGGGAAGAGTTAAATTTGACTCGCACCACCGTGCATCAGAATAAGAACAACTAAGAGTTACATCCCCATAATGCTCCTTGTCACACAGCAATGTCAATAAACTAGTTTTTGGCCAGTAAACATATTTTTGTGACTCCCAGCCTCCTTATTCGCCTGACTTGAGTCCTTGTGACTTTTTTCTCTTTCCGAAGCTGAAAAATCACCTCAAAGGAACTCATTTTGGGACAGTCCATAACATTCAAACATCTGTAACCGACCAGCTGAAGGCTATTCCAGTATAGGACCTCCAGCACTGCTGCGAGCAGTGAAAGAACCGTCTCCAGCACTGTGTGGCGTCAGAAGGAAATTATTTTGAGGGTGACACTATAAAATTGTAATTATATTTGAATAAAAGAATTTAAAAAATCAATCTCATCACTTAACTTACAGACCTCGTATTGATGTTTTTTCGTATTATTTCATTTTATAAAAAAAAAAATATAGAAAAAATGGTTACATAAAGGATAACCAACATTGATATGTTACTGCAGAACTAGTAGAAAATCTTATTTTTTGAAATATGAATATATGAATGCTGAGAACTGTACACTTACAGTGTGGTTTTGTTGCTAGTGTTATATGTGGATGTAAAACAGGCATCTGTGAGGGGGCATTTCACTTCTGATTCTCGTGCTAGCCCCCTTTTAAAAATCACTTCTAGCTAGCTAAACCTTATACGTCTCGGCATTCACGCACCTTTTTTTATACCACAACTGCTACAAATAATTACCCAACGGTGGTAGAAGTGGTGAAAGCATCTTCTGTTTAGTACCTTGTTCAACATTCTCGCTACCCTATTATAGTCTGGAACCAAAACTGAGTAGGAAAATAGATAGTACGCCACTGCTAACGCAGAATGTCTTTAAATGCGGCGGTATCCGCGCGTACCGACTTTACCGATACAAAGGAACGCAACGTTAACAGTGACGTTTTTTTTATACACCAACTACCACGAAGGCCTAAGGCTTAACACCCATTGGGTACCGTGGAGCTATAGGGGGATACAGGGGTACAGGGGTGGTAAGATGAGTTATGATATTCTCTTCCGTTTTAAAAGGTAATGATAGGACCAACTAGTACCAGATGTACACAGGCCCCTGTCATTTTACGATCAAAGTAGGAGCCGGATTACCTGGTAAACCAAAAACACGACAGCATCATGGAAGAGGGCTCAGAGGAATAATCTATTTAGATTTAGAGTATGGCTTGCAAAACACACGACGAGCACACAAAAAATACTGAAAGCTAGTCAAGACAAACAGTGAATCATATAAATAAGATCAAAGATTGCCTCAGAGATAAAAATTATAAATCTTGCGTTTTATAAATATTTTATATCAGCTTGGCAACACCGCTTCGGTAGCCCTGGATGTTCCACACATAGATGGCTGTTTTTATTATTTGTAAACCTGTAATAGTCCAAGAGCCGACCCCAAAGTTTTGGTTACATCGCGTAATTAAATGGAATATTAAGAACCAGTCAAAGTAACAACATCCAATATATTACAGTTTTATTTTGAGACCTTTGATTCAGTTTAGCACGTCGTCTCTAACCTGAAAGAATCCATCGGGATTACCTGGGTACGCTGTCAATGTACAACTCCCTAACAAATGTCTATTCGTCATGTCTATTCGTCATTGTCTGTCAGAGCGGTCCGTAGGACCTTTGCTCTTGGTTGAAGTCTTGTAAGTCAGTAGGTCTGTCAGGTCTGGTTGCCCAGATACCAAACAAAGTCAGGGAGAAACTCCCTAAAAAATGTGATTGATGATTTGGAGAGGTTCTCTACATTTACAGGATGATGGCTTACTCAGATCCCGTTTGTATAGTGAGTAACGGCAGAGCCCATGTGAGGATCTGATTCGGTTAAGGGTCTTTCGCACATGTCGATCTAACTCCATACCTAGAAGCCGGTCGTTGGTTTCAGCTGTCAGTGAAGAATGTGGTGGAAATGCTGTTTTCCAGCATTCCTTTGAGCACTGAAATCTTTATGCAGCTGCCTTGTCAATCGAAGTGTAGGAGAACTAGATTTAAGGTCGCATGTACCTCTTTTTTCAACTGCCTGCTTGTAGCAGTATTCTAAATCCTTTTCATGAGAATCTTTCATGGTGTACGAGTATTTAGAGATGACTAAAAACGATGTTATCTTTTTTTTCAAAAAACGATTTTTTGTGCATTTTAAAGTTCATTTTTTCTTCAATCGTAACTTGTTAAGAAGTACTAGCATAGCTCTGAAATTGTATGTCAAAATTCCACTTTTATAGTAGGATTGAGCGGATAATTACTTTTTCTCTTCGATTGATTTTCTTGAAGCCTTATTTTGCAGCAATAAAAGCAAAGATTTTTTGAAAAGTGGTAAGAAAAAAGTAATCACCCGCTCAATTCTTCCATAAAAGTGGAATATTCACATACAATTCCAGAGTTATACTATTATTTGTTAACAATTTACGATTGAAGAGAAATGCATAAGACATGCATTTTTTGACAAAAAAGAGACGGATAACATTATCAGTCATCCCTATACATACAAGGAAACAATCAGATGAAAAGTATTAAGAACGCTGTTGAAAAAAAGCGACATGTGAAGTACATTCAACGCAAGATCTGAACAGAGGAGCCAAGAGAAACGAGTATTTTTTTATTTTTTGTGACATCGCGAAGGATCCTATTTTTGTTAATTTTTTGTTTTGTTTGAAATATGACCCGATTGAGGTTATTTTCACCGACAATTGGGAAGATTTTAAATAGCTTTTTTACACTTATAATTTTAGTCATTTTTAATATCGAAAATGGTAGATAACTTTCAGGAGGGTAAATCACATATACCGATAATATAATGTCACATGGTCATTGAATGCATACACTGAGTTAATAAGACATTGCTTTATTTCAAAAAAATCTAAACAGTCAACAACTATTTAACAATATAATAACAAAAAAGAGTAGTAGCGGGTAGTCTTAGAAAACTCCTCCACGGATTCCGAAAAAGGGGTTCATGCCAGTGAAGCCAATGCCTTTGTTGAAGCCTCCAAATCCAAAGCCTGTGATGAATGGACCAACACCGTAGATTCCCTTCATTGTTTTGGTAAAGTAGGCTTCTGTAAGCAAAATAAAAACAGATACAGTGGTCTAAGATTCTACGTTATAGCTTAGACGATATTGGTTGCCACCACTTACCAGGGTACCCATATACAGTCATTTTTGCATCGTCAATGGTGTGAACTTGGTCCAACTGCATCTTCTGCAGCCATTGGAGCAAATCAAGTTTCTCCAATTGCCTCTTAATCTCCACCTGCTTGGTGAGGTCTAAGCGGTTCAGAATCTCTTTGTCCTCAAGTATCTGAGCCAGTTGTTCAGTCTTGATGTCGCGAAGCAGTCTTTGGCCTTGCATGAGGTGGACCTGCTGCAAAGTGTGTTTGTCGTTCAGGTCCAGGAGGTCGCCGACTTGGTGCTTCTTGAGGGTATCATAGAGGTCACTAAAGAAAAACATTAAAACGAGAACTTATAAAAATAGAGCAAAAATTATTCGGGCTTTCATATCTACTATTTTCTCTCTTGACGATTTTCCAACACCCCCCCCCCTCATTTCTAAATTACATAGCTGACAATCTTTCTGGATTCTAAGTTTTTTTTGTAAAAATCACATATGAAGTCTTTGCGGCCTGATTTATGTTTTTATTGTGAAATCCTTCAACTTATATTACAGATATACAGGGTGCTCTCAAAGTTGGGGCTTTCGTTTACAGATCTTATAGGCTATGCAATGATAAGCAACTTTTCGTAGTAACACGTATATCAAAGCCCTAAGATAACTGAGATATTTAGTTCTGAAAAATTCTAAATAAACCATCCTGACCCTGCCTTCCTACCCGTCTACGACAAAGGGTATGATGTTTTGTGGTACCATGACTATGTATTCAAAGCCAGGCGCCGCGTGGTGTGTAGGTTAACCTAGTTTATAAACAAGCCATTGAAAACCGAAATTGTCACATTCCGACAGCAATAACGTAGTTATCGATATGACAATAGTTTACTATGAGCGTTATCAAGATTCTATTGATATACCGCGGAGTATTAGGAAGAAGTTGCTTTAGGCAGAAGTAAGCAAACTCGTGTTTTTGAATCGCACAGCGACAACTTCAAGCAGTAATTACAAACAAAACATGTGATAGAGAAGTGTACTTGAAATGCCATATCAAAGAAGTCATGAGTATTGTTCTTCAATTTCTTTTTTCATTTGCGGCAAATTAACTTTGTTGTTCCGAACGTAGTTGTCTCTGGAAAGAAAAGTCCCAGCTTTCAGGATTAAATTAGCACTAGTGAATTTAAAAAATGACTCTTTAAATATTACACAGTATGTTACTACCAGAATTACACAGCCAGTCATCGCAGGTAGTGTAAACGGCAATACTATAATTTGTCTCCCATTCCCCCGATTTGTCAAATCTCACAAATACGATAGGATTCGGACCGGTAACACTATGAATTAAGGTACCCTCATTATTTAACACTAAGCTCGTCCTGAGATTTACACTCCCTATGTTGCCCCAGGTGTTTATGGTTGTTATCCTGGAGGATATGCTTTTTCCAGAAAATTAGCAAGCACTTATGATATACCAATATATGGCTAAAATAATGGTCCCTATTATTTTTGAAGTATGCTTAAATTACCTCGAGATAAAAATGAATTATGAGTTAGCTTTAAGAGAGAGAGCAACCAAAACGTCCCATTATTCCATCAAATTTAGCAAAATAACCCTTGATGTATTTGGAATATAGTCACACATCACAAGTTTCCATAAAGTGCGTATGACTATACCTGCTGTTCCCACCAGGTAATCTATTTTGTAATTGCTGATAAAAACCCAAAAAATATACAACCAGTAATTATCTTGGTAATATCAGGATCCCAACAGGAGCGATGTAAATTTACTATGAATCGGTGGTCATCCCAGAAAACCAGTAGGCCTCACTTGGTTGACCTACTAGCTACTCAAAATGATTACTCTAGGTATAAAGTAAGGCTGGCTTCTCTTCATAGATCGCCGTATAGCTTCAAATACACCATGATCGTTTCTTATTGCAATCATCCGATTTTTGGGAGGTCGGCAGTCTATGACAAGGATTGTATAATATTTCCTTCTAGTTGGTAGTACCTTAATATGTTGAGCTGTGTTTTAGTTAGAGGGTGGTACTTGTGTTTGATCGCAGATTATGGAAATGTCTGCCACTGTTATGTGCTCTAGGCATTGTATTGTACGTTTATACTAGGCGTGTGATGTATTATTGTTCGGTCGTCGGTTAGGAAGAAATTTTATCTCAGACCGTCGCGCTGGAAAAACTCAATAGGCTGCAATTGTGATTTTCACAAATAAAACATGTTATATAGCGAAAATTTTGTTGGCTCATATATCAACGAAATAAAAAAATCTGGAATAAATCTGCACGTGACTCACCCAGTTCCAACTAATTTTCTCATGACCTCAGGCACAACTTCGTCGTAAACCCCTTTTCGGAATTCATCTCCGATAGTGCTGTAGATGTCGTTGATGTCGTTCCACTTGCCGAACTGTCTGAAGCCCAAGTCTCCACCCAAAACTGTCCTTAAATAGTCTTTCTTTCTGTAAGAAAACAAAACAATTTACTGCCACGGCCTATAATTTAGTAATTATTGATCTCTTTTTTGTTTTCTACCTAACTATTATACATACTCAGAAGTCCAAATGCAAACGACGATTTTGTCCTTAAAGTCCATAAAATTATGAAAATGCAAAAGTTAGTTAAAACACCCTGGAATGGATGTTAAATACTGGTATCTTATCAACAACAATGTTCTAAAATGTTTAATACCGCATTAATTGATCATTTATCAAAAGATATTCTAGATGGCACCTAAAATCTTATAAGCACTATTGGAATTTGCTTGAAATACTAGAGAAATCAAAACTGTCTGGAAATCGAACTCTTTGCTTAATGTTACCATTTGTGTTTTAGAAATATCAAGTATCCGCCCTTTATGTCTGTAAGTATGTAGCTCGTAAATCTAAAGAATAAATGATTGTCTATTAAGACACATCTACCTAAGCATTCTTCAATATTTGCAAAGAAATTTTACCAAAAGTGACTTACCCGAAGAAAGGTCCCTTGTCTACTCCAAAGACTCCACCGTATACATCAATGGGTACTGCAGAGCTGATTGTTACAGCAGCTAAAAGAACAAGCGCGGTTGTCGTAGTCATCTTCAAAGCTGCTTGTTCGCAATTGATGCTGCTACACAGAACCGGAGGGTTTTTTATACAAACCATTATCACATTTTTACGATGTTTGTTGTGACAAAATTACACCCTTATCACTAAATCGCTTTTTTATCAAACCATTGCGATTTTTGGTCAATTAAAGAAAGTTACCAAATATATTTTACTTATTATTAATATTAAATAGATAAAATAAACATTTATTGATTATTGCTTAAACCGTTGTAAATAAGCTTAACTATGGAAAAAATTGAATAATACAAGGCCTAAGATACTCTTACACACGTAGAAGAAGAAATGATAACTTAGGACGTCAAGCCAAAATATCGCTAATGCCCCGATTATAGTCACCATTCAGTTTTGAAACGCGTTATTACTTGTCTAGAATCTAGCTTTCTATTATGGATTTAAAACAATGGACAATATATTTCCCATCCATGTAAAATGCCATTAAATTTTACCTATACATTCTAAAACTAAGGATGACTGGAAGTGAACCCTACATATCTAGGCTTCTAGCTAACATAAAATTGAGCTGCTATTTACTGGGTTGTAAGAAAGGTTTGGTAAAATCATTATGCCTGATGCATAGAATGCAGGGAAGTTTTGTTCAAAAAGCTCAGAGAGGTAACTCCGGAAAACCTCAGTTGACTCAAATCTTTGTTGTTACAAAATCTTCTTGACACGTGACAGTAATATTCCACCAGGTAATAAAAAGGATATTCCTGGCACGTGCCATCAGAATTCATCGAGTGTAGGCCTATTGCGCATGTGCATGAGTCCGAGCAACCAATGGCATAATGGCAAGCCGACTCGCTTACTGGCTTCCATTTTGTTTTATCCCATGTCCGTGAGTATCTAATGGATCCTCTTCACAATCGGCGATTACAAACGATTGCGCGCGAGCACGATCGTGTAGAGGGCATACTGGGCTATACGTGGCTGTACTCACCGATCATCGTCTGTGACATATGATCGCCTTCGACCCGTGAATTGACGGTTTTTCACACGCATCAAAGGGAATCGCCGGATCCTATTGATGCTTGCCGTTTGACAAACTATCATACGGACGCTCATCTGGATGCTTGCTCGATGATCGTGCCTATTATGAACGATCACACGATCAACGATCATCGACGATAGTGAAGTGCAGGCATATCATCGTATGTGTCTTCAAGTCGTACATTATTAGACAGTATTTTTTTATATGGAAAAAGGTGTTTCCTGATAATTATTAACCTCAATTCATCTGACTAATGAGCATTATTGTGTCAATTGGGTAAGGTGTTTACAAGATCATAATCTCCAAAAACATCGCCTAATAGGAGAAGTTTAATTTGTAGTGAGAAGAAACTGACAACTGCAAATAATATGGTACGAGCCCCTTCTCACTTCAGTTGGCCCACTTCAAGATTTGTACCAAAATATGCCTTTATAAACCAAACACGACGAAACTATATACTTCTAAAACAATTTATTTTCTCAAAAACATTTTAGATCACTCTAATCGTAAGTAATACATATTTGAAATTACTTAGACCTATAACTAATAGAACATCTGAACAAATAAACAATGTGCGAATAAATGCGCGAAGTTAACAAAGCAACAATTGAAAGATTACCATTGGGTAACATCACCTTTAGTTTTTATTACGGCTGAAATTCTTTGGGACAAGTTTTGTCAAAAATTTGGTGTAAAACAATCCCATATTTCTTGAAGCTTTTGTCTCAGTTCGGTGATTGTACGAGCAGGATGTTGTCGTAGAACCTTTTTCATCTCGTGCCACAAAGTTTCAATAAGTGACAGATCTGGACTGCTAGAAACCCATTTCAAAAGTGGTACATTATTTTCTTCCATCCCATTTTATAGCCTTTTTTGAGGTATGGCACGCTGCACCATCTTGCTGAAACACAAAATCTTGGCCGGATGTCAAACTTTCTTCCATCACTGGTAAAAGCGATTCTTCTAAAATATTTGTTTGTATCCAAATTTCCATCAATAAAATGAAGTTTTCCTACTCCTTTTGATGACATACTGCCCCAGACTATAATGGATGCTGGAAATTTCACTTTTATCTTCAAATAGTCAACATGGAATGCTTCATTTTTTTGCGAATAACTCTACTGCGACTGTCACCAACACAAACTTCGAATCGGGCCTCATCACACCATTGTATTGCACACCATTGTTGAGGTGTCCATTGTCTATGTTCTTTAGCCCATCTAAGCCGATTTTTCTTTTGCAGTGGATTTAATAGTGGCTTTTTTTTGCCCTATAAACAAGTAGTGCAACTTTAGAGTTTTTACTTCACTTTTTTTATAAGAAAACTTACCTTGCAAGTGCTAAATCCCAGTTTGTGGGCCTCTCTACGAGTTGTGGACCTAGAAATTCTCATTCCAACAGCGTCACCCCACAGACCACCTAATTGTAAATAATTGGCACGCCTGTTTTTCACGATTATTCTTCTTAATGCTCTTCGGTTGGCATTTGTGATATTACTTTTTTTCACATATCGTGGCTTAATATTAACTGAAGCAGTGACGTTATATCTTCTAACAATATTTCTCACACTGTACCGCAATAAGTCTAACAAAGTTGCAATTTCTGAGTTTGATTTCTCAGAATTAAAAAATTTAGTTATCAGTAACCGAATTTTCTCACTAATAACCTTTCCTCTATCCATTTTGAAAACCTTAACTACCCAAAACTATTTTAAACGTATTCTGACAGGTGTGATTAATAAAAACAATTTTCATGGCTTTTATTTTTCACAGCCACCTATGCGTTATAGACTTATTTTGCATTGAAATGAAAATAGGTTGATATGCTGTAATTGCAACATGTGTTATTTTTATGCTGCAAATTTGATTAGGGAGTGATAAAGTTGGTGTTTTCTACTATATATTATCAAAATATTCATTGTTAATATTTTAAACCTACAACACCCTGCTACATTTTTATTATTTCTCTTTGATAAGAAAAAAAATAAGATTTCAATAGTTGGGCCAACTGAAGTGGGAAGGGGAAGTGACAGCTGGTTATCTAGTAATATTTCAAAATTTCCCATATCGGCAAAGGACACATAATTCTGACGGATCCGTCCAACCCAGATAGACAAAGCCATATTTTGTTTTGGTTTTTTGTACGCTACAGATTCATTTTGTACTTGCTAAATGCTCTTTTATTTAGAAAAGTTCATTTGCATACAAAAAACAAAACTCTTTCTCCTTCAAGAAGGTTAGGCATTTCTAGATTTCTACTGATCCGTATCACCGTCAGCGCTCTCCTTTTGTGAAGTTATGTTTTCTTTTTGAATAGTAGGAAATTTCAGGCTGATTATACATATGATAAAGTCCAAAGCATGAACAATTTGATGCAAATAGAAATTTGTGACATAATCCCAAAATAGAGTGCTGACACGAAAGAGTTTAAAACTATGAAAATCAAGGAAGCCATAAAGGCGTCCTACAATTGTAGGAATGACTGACGGTACGGCCCTTAGGCTTAGGCTGCAGTACTTTTTTTTCCCGCAAGCGGTAAACCACCAAACGGCAAAACCGCCTGAGACGCACACATCACGGTTAAAAACCGCGTAACTGGACACGATGTTCACAATTTGAAGATGGATTTCAAGAGAGCTGTATGTGTTGTTGCTTTAATATTAAGAAGCAGAAAAAGAAAGCGTCATCAAAAATTTCGCTAATATTGGGTCCATCCACTGACTATCCGAATATTTAAGAAAGGTATCTTTCATAAAAAGTATCAAGATTTAAGAAAACATCCTGAGAAATTTTTCAACTACTATCGGAACGAAAAAGAGGACCAGCGGAAGATCTGTGCTTTAAGCACAATGGCGTTTATTTCAACGACATCCCATCCTAACACTTGTGACACTGTGTTGCTAGATGTACGATTACTGGGAAATGTAAATACGCAGACAATTCTTGTCCCCCCATTTTCAATGAATTGTTTATTCTTATTATCTGGTTAACTTTTATTGGCGTTATCTCTGTTCTAATACGGTTCAGTGTTCCCCATGTCGACCACTCAAAGTCAGTACAACTGGGCATCTCTTGGATAAGCCGGTAGTTGGTCAGTGGACCGTCTAGAGTCAAGTCCAGGAATTTCTACGAAATTCAAGTATCTTTGATTTGCCTTGAACTCCGGACAGAGAATGGCGCTCATCGATAGTTCGTTCAGGTCTTTCTATGAACTCTTACGCCATTTTGAGATGGAGATCATACAGCTTGTTACATTACTTCTGTGGTTAATTGAGCAAGTATGACATTGGAAAAAGGAAAAAATTGCCTCCAGAGCAAGGAAGTCCGTCTAAGACATACTTGCTTTCATCAAAAGGAAGAAATCAGAGGGGTTAGGACCTCTATACCTTCTGGAAAAACAGTTACAACTGTCGGAGGAAGTCAAATACCTGGGGGTAATACTAATCTGGAACCCGCAGATCAAACGCTCTCATGGCAAAACATGGGGATTAATCACTTCCATAATGCAGTGGACGTAGATAATATTGGTAATGACTTATTCATATCTGGTTCTTCATGACGGTGTTCCAAAGAATGACAGTACCGCGCGCGGTTGCCGCGTCAAATGTGAGCGCGCCGATATAAGTCCTATGAACTACAAATTTTGGCGCGTTTTTTCTCGCTAGCCATACTGTAACAAGTCGCGGTTTTAAAATCAGTCGCGGGAAAAAACCGTAAGTGCGACCGCCTCCATTAGTTTACTCACAAATCAGGCGGTTAAAATCCGCGGCGGTTTAGCCGTAGTGCGGCCTAAGCCTGATTCATTATAGCCAACGATGCAGACTAACACAAAGATGTCACTAGCTGATCAGCTGTTCACCTCAGTAGACATGAAAGCGTGATGGATACTCGTGAAATACGGTGTATGTTATCTTCACATTTTATTATGGTTAATTGCTTTGTTAAGTTTCCAATTATCCTTTTTCGTTTTAAAATTAGACTTGACAGGTTGGCGTGCCTGCGGCCATTATGGTGTGATCACCTGGATATACCTGAAGTATTTATTAGATGTTTCTATAAAAAACCACTAGGAGGACTTTACCAAAATCACTTTTTTCCAACACCGAAGCAGCCGCGCAGGCAGAAGCCTAAATGCCAGGACACCGCGGCTGCTATCGGGATCTCAAAGAAATTTTGTTAATCCAATTGTTGAACCGCCTAAGGTTAGTAGAACTGGGAAACGCCTCCTCTTGTAGGTCGATGCCCTCGGGATAAAGGAGAGGTCGTATCGGCTACTTCTGGATGTAGGAAGTTCGACACGGTTACGATGGGAGGCCGAAGTCAGGTGGATCTGTGTGGCAGGCACATTATGCGGCGGCATCATGGAGGAGAGTTCTGAGGAGCAAAGCCCGTTGGTGTAGCGGTATAAGAGAGCTAGATCGCCGACGCCCGCCGGTGCGAAGCATAAATAATGTAGTGGGGGCAGCAGCACCCCAAACGTGTGAGCAATACTCGAGGCTTGTATAGAGTGAGAAGGTCATGCGGAGAAAAGTACTTCTT